TTTTATTTGACCATTAGTTCTCAAGCATTACCTTAAATTATGGCAAAGTCATCTATTATCACCTCCCTATCGTCACCTTTCTCTTTCACACTTTATTACTCTTCTAGATAAATTTTTGGGCAAAAGACTGTTGAGGTATGTTTCCATCTCAATTACATTAAAGCAATGCATTAACTTGGAAGAATCAACATGTGGGCTTCTCATCATGGCACATGGCATAATAATGTATTTATGTATGTTATTATTGTATGTATATGTTATTAATGTATTTATCTGACCATTGGCTTGGATTTTACAATTAACTGAAAGGATTGGGGCATTTGAGGAATGTGGACATTGTAAAGGCTGAGCAAAGACATTGAAGATGTCTCTGTGCTTGACCAACAATATAAACAGTCAATGCTGCACAATTGTCTACTTCTTGTGTATTAGGCAAATGAACAAAATGTCTATTATCTCTAAAAGCTTGCAATCAACTCAAAGTTAGGGATATTTTCTTGTTTATATACATCTTCTATAAGACCTTTTCCTTCCCCTACGTCCCCCCAGACAGAATTCTTATTTTAGTGTCAAGCACGTAATAGATACTCCAAATTCAGAGTTCATTCTACTTGTTCCTTTAATACAGATTCTTTGTTCTTAAGAATTATTGACTCCTCCAGCTTACTCAACTGAATAACTTGAATCTGCATGATGAAGCACAAAAGGAAATAGATATTTGGTATGACACAAGCTTCAATCACACTCAGCTGTGCAGCTATCTGTGCAATACAATTGGATTAACTGACTGTTATTAAAATACATACCAGAAGAGGGCAGCACCTCCAAGGCCCCCGATAGTCACATCTGTCAGACCGTCACCATTTAAATCCATTTCTCCATGGATAGACTGGCCAAAAAATTTCAGTGTCTCGCCATCCCCACCTGAAGGGATACGCTGTGAAAATTCCAACAAAGGCTTTTATGTCAGAAGGAGCTGTTCAAAATAGTTTCAAATAAATCCAAAAACTTAGATTGGTTAACAAAAAATCAAAATGAAAGATCTTTTGGGAACCTGTCCAAGACACCCCTCATGTTGATATAAGAGGAAATACTCAGATATTCCCAAAGGATGCTGTTCTTTTTATAGTACAGACAAAATCATTTCAGGGTTACTGACACCAGAGGGAGAGGGAAAAAGTAAATAACGTCATCTTGTCTAATCCTCACGGGAAACATTATGAGTAATCAGCTCTGCTTTCTAGTTCCTGTTCAATCCCATTACACAGAGATGTTTAAAGGCACTGGAAACCTTGCAAACATATCATACCAGCAAGCAGGGGAGTGGAAGATTGTCCTAGGGTCACTTTGGGGTTCACTGAACTTTGTGGCTGGATATGAATAACACAATCCATCAAATACATTTCCCAACACGCAATCTTCTTTATTGTCTGTCAAAAATTGTCCTGAAAGTTGAGGGCACGATAGACTCAATTCCACCCACTTATAGTCACAATGTTGGGAAGTCACAAATGAATATGGAGTTCTTGACTAATCTGTGCACATTCCCATGCATAATATATGTGACACCCGTACTTCCTGATTTAGCTTTGGTTCAAGCTGACGCTGTTTTAATGGAAGCCGAGGGCAAGGAGCCAGGACTGACAGATTCTCCCTAAACTTGGGGTTTTCTTATCTTCCTGCTTTCCACTTAAATAACATAACATAAGGAGCCCAATAAGCCAAACCAAATGGAAACATTTTTCATGCTTAAACATGTGTGGCTTGTTGGGAAGTATTTCAGCATTTATTCAGCAAACAAGTCAGGAAATAGCTGCCTCATTGGTTCTGAGGAGTTGATTCAGTTTGACTCCGGATCATTCCATACATAACAGCACCTCTGGTTCCCATGGAAACAAGTAAGCACATCCTCACCTTTTCCTTGGAAAAACGTTTTGCCAGGAATTAAACAAATCCAATTCTAATAATTTTATTGTTTAAAGTTGCATTTTAATTTATCATCATTTTATAATACAAAACAAAGTGCTTATGACAATCTATTCCATCTATTAATGATTTAAAAAATCTTTCTTTTTCTACTTTAAATACTACCCCATTAAATTTGCAGGACTGATACTGAAGGAGTAATGTTAGAACACAAGAAAGAACTGCCTTTCTGCATTTCCTGATTTCATCATGCCCCAGTGGTTAATATTGCCTATTTCTAGCTAAGTAAATAATGCTATAAAGATTTTTAACAGAAAAATATCATTTATCAAATGGATAGAAGTGTTGTTATTGAAATAATAAGCTCTCTATTTGTTTACTATTAATATCCTTATGACTTTAGGAAAAGTTAAGCATGACTATGCAATACATGAATAGATTTCGAGAACTCTGTCAACTATTGAACCACACTCAAATGGAAAAAGAAATAATGTTCTGATTTCTTTTCATATTATATAAGCTAGAAAGTAGTGAATTTTATTTTATTTATTTATAAGTAGTTGCTGAATGCCTAAGCAACTATGATTACTGAAAAACAGATAGTTACATTAGAATTCTTTTAAACTCTCCTGTTTTTATAGTATATTAAGCACTTCTGTAAATTTTTCTTTTTCTCATGTAGGAAAAAATTACATTTATGGATTGTAGCTGTTAACTGACAATAAATTTGGAACCAGAACAACAGAAGTCCCCTGCAGGTTAAGCTTAATTATTCCAATTTTTTTTTCCTGGAAGGGTTATTTGTGAAAATTATAAACCTTCAGAAATCCTAATTCATTTGATAAAAATAGAGCAATTTAATTCCTAAATATAAAATTAATATAATCTTATTATAACAGCATGGGCACTGAATATAAAACCAATAATTTCATTTCCTTTACTGACTAAATCACAGAATCATTATTGTCTTATTCATAAAGTGGTACCCTCTTTTTAGGATCAGAGACACTGTAGATGTTGAATAACATTGTTACAAAATGATCTTTTGTTTTGTTTTTTATCATTTCAAAGGATCAGATCCTGGAGACATGAAAAATACAATAACAGAAAATAAACTAGATAGAAGTATAAAATACAAAGTAATTCTTCTATAAAGAACACTTAGAAGAGAATTAAATCTAGGTTCCCAATAGAGTCAGAAGAAAGAGATTAACTCATGAAGTTAGACAGGTAATGCCTAGCATTGAACCCACTTATCACTGAAGGGCAGGAATCCATAGGCTTAGCTTCTTACTTGTGCATACTCTTTCCTAATAGTCTTGCCGCTTCCGTGATAAATGTACACGGCTCCCCCGTGATCATCTTCCAGCGGAGCTCCTATCACGATGTCATTAAATCCATCAAGATTGAGGTCTCTTACAGCGGCAATAGCTGTTCCAAAACGAGCCCCGCATGGCTCATTTTTGTTTTGTTTTGTGCATAAATTGTGCTTCAGAGATGAACAGCAAGTCTGCTTAATAGGTTCCAGGCTCATTTGATATTCAAACCTTGTCTGCAAGAAAGATAAACAGGATACTTATGGATTTCTATCATTGCTACGCAGAGTAGAATTTTTAAAGTACATACTAAATCAGTGCTATTAAAACCATTTGTACATCAACAGTAAAGTTTGTAAAATTTCTTAAGAAGTGTGCGTATCTGAGAGCAAAGTTAGCGATTCCAAAGAACAGATTGTAGAAATGTGGGAAAGAAGACATATTGAGGATTTTAATGGAGTCTCTTTTTAATGCGATTGAGTGAGTGTATAATTCACACCATCATTTGAAAGCCAAAGAACTGAATATTTAAATTCGTGCCACCTTCCCTTCTTCACCCAATATTGTGCAAAGAGAATATGTACCCTGTTCAAAAAGCAAACTTTCTCTAAAGCTGCCTAGAATGGAAGAAAAAAAAAATCAGTAAGGTTGGAAAGTACTAGCAACGGTGGACAAGAACACACTTTCTTGGAAAAAGGAAAAAAACAACACAAGACAAAAACTGTTGACAGGAGGAAGCAAAAAAAAAAAAAAATGGTAGGAAGAAAGATATACAATTTATGATTTAAAGTAATTAATATGGGAGAGAATCTAAGAATTTTAAAAACATACACAGATAAACATTGGCTTTGCTTTAAATAGCAACAAACTCTTCTAATAAAGAAATCAAGGATTATTTCACCTAAAAAATGATGTCTAAAGTCAGGAATGGAAAACAAAATCTCACTCCAGCCCAGGGAAGTATTCCAAAGCCCACAGTGGTTCCCTGGAAATGTCTGGTGTCGCTGTCTTGAAACTCACTACTTCTCCCCACCCAACCCAATTTAACTGCTAGTGTTATCCACCTCCGGGTCACAGCTCATGAACGTTTGCGTTGTGGTTTGCTTAGCAGTTTTATGAGGTTTATATTTGTTTTTTTTATCCTATATATTTTCTGTTGAAAATAATTCACATTTCCAAGCAGAAAATATGTATGGGTCGGAACTACTTTATTAAAATTCTAAGTGTTCATTTAGAAACGGGGGTTGGTGGGATGGTGAAAGCTACTTTGCTCGTTTTTACAAATGAGTGAAAAACGAGAACTACGTTATTTAAAATTGAAGGGAAAGAAAAGGTTTTCCTAGATTTTTACCAAAGTCAGATACCATTACCTGATTCAGCGCGTACACATACACTTTTCCTTGTTCCTCTTTCTCTGTTCCCATGTACATGGGAGCCCCGACTAGAAGAATGTCAGTATTAGAATCTTTATCAATGTCAATGGTTGTTAAAATACTGCCAAAGTAGGAACCGATCTAGGACACAAAACAAAACAGCCGTCAGAAATTCTCAAGGAATCTAAAATCTACACTTCTCTGACTTTTAGCATCCTAGAAGAGTATTTGAGTTTCATTTGGGAAAGGAAATGAAAGAGAGAAATGGATGCTACCTGAAAGTTCTTTGTTGGTTCTTTTATGAGACTAAAGAATATTAGTCTGTTCTATCCTCGAGGTTGAGCAGCTGTTACAGATTTCATAGCTTAAGAGTAACAAAAATGATTCCCTTTAGATTTCGCTCTAACCTCTCTTTTTTCTCCCCAAATCAGAAAAGATCAGTAATACTGCAGCAATTTTTTTAGGAAATAAAATGAGATAAACAGTAGAAGGCATTCTGGAATGATCTCATATACGTTTAAGTACAGTAATATGAAAATAGGAAATAAATGCATTATAAGGAGCTGAATTGTCCTGTAATACTGGTACGGCACATTTTACCTTGCAGTCTTAGAAGATTATCTACTCAACAAAAGGGCAAAGCCTGGTCCCAGCAGCTATGGGAGATAGAAAAATACAGCAGGATTACAGGGGGACCATCCCTCTGAAGCAATATATTTTCTAGTTTAAAGATAAGGATCTGTTTTAGGGAAAGAGCAGGGAACTTATACTTCATTATCTAAATACTTAACCTTTCCAAATATTGAAACACACAGGTGTGTTTAATATTTGATGCTCTTAATAATTCTCTTATTAAACTTCCCTGTGTTGGCTTCTATTATTTTATTTTTGCTCTTCTGATTCTGCCCTGCATCACAGACTATTCTTTCTTTTCATATTTGCTGGCTCCTTTAATCCCTTTCATCCTCTAAATTTTGGCCTCCCCTGGAGCTCAGACCTATGGTTTCCTTGCCATTCCCTTACTCCAGATGCCCAGTCCTTCCCACACGTATCCGCCACGGCACATTGCCGGTGTCAGTCGTCTTTCTCAAGGCTCCAGTTGTACCTTTCTAGTCATTGCTGGGCATCTGAACAATGCTAGACATTGCTAGACACTGACTTTTCTCACAGGCCTTTGAAGGGCATAAAGGATTTTTTAAAGTCGAATTAATTATAAACATAAATAAAATGTAAGATCTGGCAACTCTGGGCCTTCATTCCCACATGGCCATGGCCACTGGGGGCTGAGTGGGAGCCCACCGGCTGCCCAGGGCCGTGGTTTGCACAGCTTTCTATTGCCTCACGCCCAGCGGCTTTACTCACTGACCTTACCTGTTTTCACTTTACTTAACTGGCACCTGCAAACATCTGAATTTGTGCTTTTGTTACAGGGAACGTGTCTAAAAACCAAACATCATTGTTAAAAAATACCTAAGCATTCTCATCATGGAGCCATCTTTCTCTGAGATCCTCAGGCTTGAAAGTAAAATTATTCATGATTTAAATCATTCATGATACTCTCCTCAGTTTTCATAAGCGAGTTTACATTTCCTGTCTTGTAGACAATTAATAGAGTGATAATGGATCTAAGACGTCATCTAAAATGCTTCATTTTACTCTTGTCAGTTCCTCTTTATTTACGTATATCACACCTTTTCCTTTTCCATTTTTATTGCCTTTTCCATTTTTATCTCATTTTAGATTCTTCTTACCTCTTCCGTGAGCTACAATAGCCTTATTTTTGTTGTTGGTACATTTTATGAGCATAAATATGGGCAAAGTGTTAGTAAAGCCTTTTCACCTGGTACATGAGAATCTAACCTTTAGTTTACTCTAACTCTGTCCCCCTGGGAATCTGCTGAGGATAGGATTTGAACTGTACTGCTAAGGCTAAGCACCATAGATCAGGTAAAAATAACCTCTGATTGGGACATTGCGTTTAGGCTGTAGTTCAACCATAAATGAACTATAAGTACCTGATGAAGATGACCTATCTGGGGCTTTCCAGAGCGCAACGACTCTTGTAACTGGCATGCCCTCTGCAGAGACCCTGGAAACTATGTCTACGGTGTTGTCATAAAAGAAAGATACTGACTCCTGTGGGACGTGGGGCTTTAAAGCCAGTGCAGCTGCTGGACCTGTCTGATTGCACTTGGGCTGCTGTGCTGGGCTGTGTCGAGGGCTCCTACAGAGGGGGACGGCTGATGCGTCCCTGCCCTTCTAGTTAAATAAGTGGGAATATTTAGTAACACCTAAGAAGAACCTCTCCCCCCTCGATCCCCTTAAGGATTGCAGAATAAAGTTACTACAACCATATTGTATAATAGAACACTTGGAAAATACAGGAAACTATGGAAAATAGAAAAAAAGTTACCCAAGTTATTATGATTCAAAAATAAAAAATAGCACAGTTAGATGTTTCTTTCAGTTTAAAAATATATATATTAATGTTTGCATATTGCATGTGTAATTTCCTAAACTACTTTTGATATTCAATATTGTTTAATAAGAATTTTCCAATTTTACATGTCGCAAACCATCACCTATTACCTCTACGATAAAATCCAAGTTCTTAATTTGCCATTCAAAACTTAGCACAATTCAGGTCCACGTTATCTTTTTAAATCTCTTTCACTGCTCTTTCTTCCTCTCTACATTCTATTTTTCATCTAGACTCAGCCCAAATTTTATCTCTTATTAAAATTTTTCTGCACTAACCGTAGCTTAAAACAATTTTTCCATCTGATGAATATACTGTCTGTGCCACTGGCGCTTTAATGCTTCTTAATGTTTTACATCTCTTTTCTTGCAAATATTTGTACATCTATGTCTGTATCTCTTATCTACACATCTTCCCTCCACCCCCCTCCAGCTGAAGTGTCCGTGAAGTCAAAGATGCAGACACTTCACATCCTTCCAAAGAACCCAACATGGGGCCCTGTTCACAGCTGATATTGAATATATGGGTATTGCTTTTTAAAAATTTTAGAGCAATAGAGAGTTAATTTACATAGAGTATAAACAGATTAATTTGAAACAATATTTTTCAAGTTTACCTGTTCTCCACGGAGGGTCTGGAGAATTTTGATGTCTCCGTCTTCCATGCTGTAGATGATGACCTGTCCTGTGTGATTGTACCGAGGCTGTCCAGCAATGTAGAGCACATGGCCAGAAGCAGTGGCAGAGTTGACTGTGTAGCCTAACGAAAGAGAGATTCCGGATATGCTATCTGGCCCTTTAAAATCTTCATGGAGTAATTCAAGATCACTTTAAATGGCTGGGAGAATCATTTTTATATGGGCTTCTCTTTCTTTGAAAATAATTTTTATTAAATGCATATGAGAATTTGTTTTGGTCGAAGCTTTTAATGTGCTCTCTGATTATCGACCACAACTGCTCTGTCCTGAGGAGGAATTTTTTTCCCTAACCTCAGTTTTTCATGGTTTAAAGGCACAAATGATATAACAATGATGACAGAAAAAGAAAAAAAATTGCACCAAAAAACCCCTCACAACCCCATTTCACCACTTTGTGAAAAATCGGTTGTATTTCATTTGGACACATGTGTCTGTGCTATAGAAATTAATAATTTCATATAATTGGAATTACAGAAAATGTGAGCCTTTTCTGTGTTGCTGCCTAGGTTTTTGAATTATAATTTTAAATGGTTGAAGATTATTTCTCTGAGTTATAGCAAAAAGGCATTGCGTTTATACTTTATAATGATTCCCTGATGGAATATTGGAATTTAGGTGGTTTTTAATTTTTTGGTATTGTACTAAAGCCTGCAGAGACATCTTTGAGCATTTAAATTTTTTCCTCTTTTGGACTTTTTTGACAATAGATTTCAAGTTTTTAAATTGTTCTCATAGTGTCTGGGAAATTGTTTCCAGAACATTTGTACTAATTTATTCTATAATAAGCCATACGAGAGACAATAGTTTCATCAAACTCTCCCAGGTATTATGTACCGTTACTATTATTTAAATCTGTAGATGCTTTAATAGTTGTTAAGCAGTGTCTAACAACAGTAACTTGCTGTGATTTTAATTTGCATTTATTTAATAGTGAGCCTGAATAGTCTTTTTTATATGTCTGATCTTTCCTCTTTTTAATTGAGCTTTCATGCTCTTTAAAATTTTGAAGTGTGTCTTTTTTTTTCTACTTTTAACTTTATTTGCATGTATTTTGTATCAAAGTTATTCCTGGGCCATGGCTTTTATTTCTTCAGTTTCTTCTGGGATATCTTTTTCTTCCGTGCACCTTCCTCTTCTGGTTTAGAATAATATGTTCTGTTTCGGTAAGGGTCCTGCCAGTGTGATGGGGGGAGCTCATGTATGGGTTAATCCAATCATGAGCTCTGTAACTACAGCTGGTACCTCTTGGGAGCTTTGTTTACCTGGACATACACAACGACCAGAGAATTTACATATAAACCCCTAAATTCAGCATCACTTTCTGCATTTTTAAGCATGTGCAGCAAAATTTCAGCACTCTCTTTGGGTCATTGACACTCCGTCCAGCCCCATTGTTTGGCCTTGGGCACACCTACCAGCTCCACCACGGCAGAGATGAAATAGTACACGTTGCTTCTGTAAAGCCACATCTTTGAGACATTTGGTGGCAATTCAGATATGCATACCCTTGATGACCTGGGCAGTTTCACAGATGTTCTTAAAGTGAACATGAAGATTTGAACCTCTTAATTTGCATGATTTTGTGGGTTTTCCTGGGTCAAGTGAATAGTGAACCATTTTTAGAGATCACCTGAGGTTGCTGACAGAAAGAGCTTGAATTGTGTCTTTTAGGCAGATTATTATTGTTTTTTGAGAGAAGAATGAGATTTATTCTTTGTCTCTTGAAAGCAGTGCTAAATCAATGGATAAAAATTATCACATGCAGATTTCAATTTTATAGAAGGAAGAAACGTTCTAATAACCAGAGCTATTCAGCAGTGGAGGAAAAGGCAGATTACTTTTCAAAATGCCACGGAATAGCTTTTCTTGCTGAGAAAAAAATCACATTTCTAACTTATTTACCAAGCATTTTCCTATAAGGTAATAGTTCCATTTTCTTCCAAAATTTTTAAAAAGGAACGGAGTTTTTTGTACAAAAATATATTTATTGTTACAAATGCTAAGGGAAAACAATTCCTCAGACATCTTATTCTTTAGGAATATTTTCCTCACATTCTGATTTCTTCATCTTTCTTTGAAGTTTTTTATTATTATTATACATAACAGAATGTAAAATATTCTTTTCCAAACATGTAATGTGTTATATTTTTATACTATAAACCATGATATTGCTTAAAAAATAAAAACCTTAGGGTCATGTTTATACATACATAAAATGGAAAAGAAGAATGTGCAAAACAAAGCCTATTTTATTTCATGCCAAGGGAGTGAGATGACTGTTAGTGTCTGTTGATTTTTTTTTTTTGTAATTTTCAGAGCTGTGAATGCAAATTGATAAAATATTCTTTTAAAAAAAGTGAAAATTATGTTTGAGGCTTGGAGTTGTGTGATTATTTTGTTAATTACCTTTGATGATTTGTACTTGATAATTAAAACTATTAGCTGAAATCATCATGGGGACAATGACTATCGGTCAGGGTAGTTACTTATTGAGGCTCCAGTGTCTAAAGATAATAAAGAGGGAAAGAAAAAGAGAGCCAAGTAAAGCCTGATTTTAACAAAAGGAAAATGATTATAAACACTTATGCTTAACATTGCTTCCTAAAAAATAAAAGCACAAGATGGAAGAGAGAGGAAAACGGTTGGCATAGCCCTTTGCATGGAATTATGAAGCATAAATCCTGTCAGCTCTCATATTTCACTTCTTGGAAAAAGTGTGATGATCTGGTGAGGTGATGGGAAACAGGTATGATCTGTCTTGATGCCATGCCTTTGCCTCACTTCTTTCCTTTTCCACTGGAATCTCTCTGGCACGAATAGAAATCAACAAATTGTGGGTGGAGGAGGCCGGGAGCAGGATCTCAACTGTATTCTCACCAAATCCACTTGCTAAGTGTATGTTGGCATAATGCAATTTACTGAGTTGTAGAAAGACAAGTGTGTGATTATATCCTGAGAGGGATGTTCAAAAGCTTCAGTTCCTACCTCTTTATGATCATTATTGATTAGTATGGGATTATTTTTAATAGAGCATCTACCTCTTTCTTTGCTTTCTTCATAAGATTTTCCATAGTCTTACTGCAATCCACACAGATCCAGAATATTGCGTTCGATCTCTTCTTCATGTGTAACCCCCATAAGGAAACATTTTGAAAGCCTCATTTCAGATATAGAATAATATTTTGGGAAAAAAACAAAACCATCCCTCTTCCCCTTTTTGGGTGCTTTTCTGAAAGAAAATTTATGTATATTAGACTTTATGTTGGCAAATGTCTTATGTGGCAAAATGTCTTATACTCTAATTTATGACTAAGCTAATGAAATGATTTCTGAAACAGGAAAACAAATCATCTCAGCACACTGTAGACAACATATCCAAAATTTTCCTATTCTGGGCAAAGAGGAGTTATATATTATAAATACTGTGTTTAAGAATAAAGGTTCTTTTAACTTTTTTTTTTACTTGCAGTGATATCTTCAAATACTGAGTTCTCTAAGTCTGCTTTGCGTAGCCATTAACCCCAGCTTTTTGGGAATAACAGATTTAGGATTCTTAACAGTTTGTTTTTACAGAATTTAATCATATATGATAACTGAGAATACTCAAAATACTAAATGTTATTAATTAAAATGTGTGAACTTCCTAAGATTAGCAACAATGTCATACATTTTTATGGACTTCACCTATGGCTTTAATTTTGTAAATACTCAATACTTATTAGTACTAGTACTAATGTCAACTACTATTATTATTACATATAATATGGCCATATTAGTTTTCTATTGCTGCTGTAACAAATTACCACAAACTTAGTGGCTTAAAACATCACAAATTTATTGCACAATTCTGTAAGTTAGAAATCTGGCATAGGTCACTTTGGGCTAAAAATCATGATGTTGGCAGGGCTACGTTTCTTTGTGCAGGCTATGGAGGAGACTCCATTTCCTTGGCCTTTGTATTTCTGGAGATCATCCACATTTTTGGCTTGTGCCTCCCTACCATCTTTAAAGCCAACAACACGACATCTGTCTGATCAATTTTCCATGGTTCTATCTTTCTCTGACCACATCCAGGAGAGGGTCTCTGATTTTTAAGGATACAACGGGCTCAGCTAGATATCCTAGGATAATCATCCCATCTCAAGATCCTTAATTTAATCATATCTGCAAAGTCTTTTTTGCCATGTAAAGTAACATATTCATGGGTCCAGTGATTAGGACTTGGCCGTCTCTGGGGGACATTATTCTGTCTATCACCACAATACTAATCGAGGAATGTTTATTACATAACATTACATAATAATAAAATAATATACAACATCTATTGAGTGATAACTACCTGTCAGGCAAAGTACTAAGTACCTTTTGGTCATTATTTAATTTTATCTTTATAACAATCCAAATGATTATATGCAGTGTAATTATTTCCATTTTAGAAACAGGTAAATTGAGGCTCTGATGAGAAAAGTAATTTGTCTAAGGCCATAGCCAGGGGCAGAGTCGGAAAACAAACTCAAGTCTCTTTGACCTCAGAGCCATCTCTAATTGTACACCTAGTACCACAATCACTTCAAGTCTTCAGTGTCATAGGATCAGCAGCTTTATAATTTTTATTTTTATGGATGTGTAATATTTCATTAAGTGTATCTACCATTTGCTTACCTATCCCCTTATTTGGGAAATTTAAGATAATGCCATTTCCCTCAATACCATAAGCAACAATACAGTGGAAATTATTGCTCACTTTGCATTCTTAAATATTGGATTTTTTTCTTAGGTTAGATCCTTGGAAGTGAAATTCCTGTGTTAATGTGATGTGAACATTTTTATGGCTCTGTAAACATGTTGTCAGATTCCTGTCATAAGGAATTATACTAATTTATATGCTGTCCGTCTTATATGAGGGTAAATGTTGTATATTTGTTCTGTCTAGGATAGAAAGAAGCGTCAGGTTAAACTGGTTCTTGATTTCAATGTATTTCACATAAAACAGTCTCATAGAATCTTAGAATATGAAGAATTTTTAGAAGATATCTAACGTAATCTCCTGCCCTCTTTTTAGGTATTCTATGTCATGACACATACTGTGCTGATGGGCATTGCTTGTTTCATTATTGTCTCTCATCCAAAAAAGTAAGTGCCATCCATGCACGAACTGATCTGCCTCATTCATCTCTTTGTTCTGAATTTATAACTCAACGTTTGGCACCTTGCAGGTGCTCAATATTTGTGCTGTGCTTTCTTGATCAATCCAGAATCAGGCATTTTGTTATGGTGAAATGAACACTGGAATAAGAATAAATAGACCTGAATTGTAGTTTCATACCTGTAGTTTCCATCCCTCAGTTTCTTAATTTGGAAATGAGATGTTTGACTATATTCTCTCTGAGATCTCTTTTAATGCTAAAACTTGATATGAAAAGCACTACCCCTGTATTTTACATCACAATCTTTTAATCTTGCAAATATTTAAAGATATGCAATGCACACATTTTTTCTTAATTTTCAATTTCTCCAAGTTTTGGAGGGACAGGAACTTGTAGCAGTGAATTGTTTCCAGATTTGTATTCAGATAATCTTTTATTGGTACATCATAGTTTGCCATTTTCTCTTTGTACTGTGCAATGCTTAGAACAATGGAATACTCTGTCGTCTGACCTGGGCAGAATGTAATAGGCTTTCTATGAGAAGTAGACTAGGATTTCATTAATGCACTTGTGTGCCTTACAGGGTTTTCACAGTCACATTGTAGCTGCTGTTTACTATTATACTTTCAGTCATTTAAAACTCTAGGCCTTTTATTCTTCTTAAGTCCTGCTGCTTCTACAGCTTTAATAGTTGTCCTTGGATAGAGAGATGTATGAAAGTCACAGTAAAGACCTGCCACCTTCCACGTAAAATAGAAAGAAATGAGGACAGAGAGAAAAAGAGACTTGCCTCCGGGACAGAAGGATCCCAGAGAGGAAGGCTAACATGCTAAAATGTGAGCATGTCAAGGCCAAGGTATTTGTTTTCTTTACCACTCATCCCCAGTACCAAGAACAATGTCTGGGGCAAAAGAGGAGCCCTAAAAACATTTGTTGAGTGAGAGTTGGGAAGCCATACCCTGAGGGTCCTTTCCTTCCTGGCCCTCCCAACTGTACACTGAGATCCTCTTCTAGTGATGAGGAGTCCCCTGGCATCCCTTGCATAGCTCTCAGCCTGGTACAGATCCTGATAACGTGGTACCAGACACACACCTCCTCATTCCTGGCAAGACTTTAGAAAACAAGATGACCTTACATCACTCGGTTTAAGTTCAATATTTTTCTGATTGTACACAGACCTATTAAACAAGAAGCCATCTGACAAAACAACTTAAATTTTTCTTTTCCAAAATTAGGATCCATAGAAAGAAACTAACGATAGTGGGTATTTAGGAGAATACAGGAGTATTGTTTTCAGGATATGGGAAAAGTCAAGGTTTCTTTTTCAGTCCTCATTTCCTGTCCACAAGGTCCAAAGCTCTTCTTTAAGTTAAAGAGAATACCAGACACAGGGAAAGTGCATATATCAATAAGTACACATAGCATCCTGAACCATTCCCTGCATTAGACAGCCCTGCTGAGAAAGAATGGCTTCCATGTTCTGTGATTTTGACTAACTAAGGCTGCTCAGATGCCTGAAATCTTTCATGGGTTCTGTAAAATACCTAACTCTTCAAAGTGATCTTGCCCTATCATGATAAACCTATAGAAATATAAGCAAATAATACTAAAGATAAAAAATAAATAAAAAACCTTCTATAAGTAAAACTACAGATCCATAGGATTTGACCAGGGAATTCTAAAAACCTTCTATAAGTATATCCAAAGCTTACCTAAATAAGAAGCAAGAGGTTCATTCGTTTTAGACTCAACTTTAAAGGTTGTATTTTGAGGGATTATGATTTGATTAGCCTTCTGCATGACAACTGTTCCATTCCAATCATAGGCTCCCACTGCTCCAAGCATGACCCAGTCCTCCAAATAGAGAAAACAATAATATTTAATAAAAATAATAAGAGCAAACACTTATACAGCATTAACAATGTGCTAGGTACTGATTGAATATTAACTAATCAACTATTACATATATTAACTTGAATAATCCTCACAATAACTCTGTGAGTGAGATGCCATTATTATCATCCTTATTTTTCAGAAGTAACTGAGACACAGTAAGTAGCTTGCCCAAGTTTATACAGTAAAATTGCACATTGAAATGTCACTATTCCTTTGTGGGGACCATGATGACTTTTCTTCTGTCAACTACGAATGATATATTTTCTAATCTTGCCTTTCTGCTTTATTCCGGGTGCAAAGAATTCTTGGTTTTGAACATGGAATTCTGGCAAGACCCTTGGATACCCTGATACTGAGAAAAAGATATATTCCACATCTTTAGTAAATATATTAAGTATTTCATTTAGTCAGATACATAGTTACATAAGGCAGAGCTCGCACTGTCTGATTCACAGTTCTAAGTACAATGTAGTGAGCTGTGTGAGATAATCTGTTTTCCTAATAAGAAGCTTGTGCAATGCATTTTCCTATTTGGGTTAGAAAACACCGTCATGGGTCAAACCATGAACTGCATGTTGCACTTGTAATATTGATGGGCAGGTGTTGATTTTGGGGAAGGAAGTCTTGCAAAAAATATTTCGTTTTCTACCAACTGGTTAATGTACCTGTGAATAATGAGCACTGAAGCCGGTCTGAGACATTTCCATTTCAAATGAAGCTGCTGACTGGTCAGCTGTAGCTATAACATAGAAAAATATCACTGTAAACAATCAATGACACCTTTTCGTGCACTTACTTGAAGGACACAGGGCCCTGGTAGAGCTTGTGGTCTTACCAACCAGAACTTCCAGCATCTTAGGGCACTTTCAGCCATATATTTTTCAACCCCAAATTTCTAGGTAGGTCTGAGTAGAAGACAGAGAAGGTTGGTGAATCTGTCTCAGATTCTTGCTCATTAGCTTCCCCATCCTTGGTGCAGGAATTGAGAAATCTCCATTCTTACAGTGTAGCCATGTTGTGGATCCTAGGGTGCTTTGGGTCCACATGGTTCAAGTTGAAATGTACTGAGTAGGAAATTTCTGTCTCAACTCATCCCCTGGAACCCCTGCTGAGCCCGTAGGCTAAATTTACTTGATATGTCACAGGGCTGAAAAACGTTCATTCACATATTTAAAGAGGTTTCTCAACTTTACCAGTCCTACCCACATTTCAGGCCATAGATCCTCTCAGAATTCTATCATTTGATAAAGGGTTTAGGGATTTCAGTTTGCATTTGCTCTAACGGTTGGCTGTGGGTATTGCTCACAGATAGGGCTCCGGGCCACACTCCATTCAATCACATACCGATATTTTTACAAGATCCTGTACCCATTTTGAAGCTCTTTATTGAAACGCACAGATAATCCAATGTATTCCATGGAAGTGTGCTGCTTTCAAATTATTCTAAAAATATTTGCAAACCCAAAGCCACAATTCCAAGAGGGAATTGAGAGAATGTTGATTTACTTGTTTCCAGTAGGGAGTTACTGATTTATTTGGCCTTGTAGGTAAGTTAAAAATAGCACTTAATTTTAAGAAAGTCAGTCTTCCCTTTCGTTGAGGAGGCATGAGAATAAACAAATTGGTGAAGTTAAACTTACTTTGACTAGTTATTTATTGGCACAAAATTGTAAACAAATACATCAGTAATAGCCTTTTTATGTAGGAATAGATTAAGTGGGTAGCCAATTAAGAATTTGAATATATCATTTAAATCTGCTTGTACAAGTTGCCCTCTAATGCACTTTTTTTTTTTTTTTGAAACAGTATCACTCTGTTGCTCAGGCTAGAGTGCAGTAACAGCAGCATAGCTCACTGCAACCTCAAACAGCTGGGCTCAAGCAATCCTCCTGCTTCAGCCTCCCGAGTAGCTGGGACTACAGGCATGTACCACCACTCCCAGCTAATTTTTCTATTTTTTTGTAGAGATGTGGTCTTACTCTTGCTCGGGTTGGTCTTGAACTCTTGGCCTCAAGCAATTCTCCTGCCTCGACCTCCCAATGAGATGCACTTTAGACTTAATTTAAACATGTATTTTAAGTCCACAGTGCTTTAAGGTACTTTCTCACTTATCTTTGCACCATCAATAATAAGAATGCGGCAGCAGAAACCTGCATATTTCCAGCCTGCCCTGCTGATGTTCTGCCTTCAGCTGAGGACAGAGAGAAGGAGGCTACGAGATGTTCTTTCTGCTGCATTAGCATCATGGTGATAGTCCACTGTATACTCCTGGGCTTCTAACTGTACTCCCTGAACTGTTGATGAATGTTTAGCTAACCACTCTAACCACTGCGTAGCCTCTGGTTAGAAATTTAGGCATTTCTCCCCATGCTTCATGGGAAAGGGAGACACTGGACCATTCTCTGATTTTATTAGGCAAGTGCTTGCCTCACTCAGTGGCACTGACCTTGCCAAGCAGGACTTTCATAATTGCAGCTATTTACCATCTTAAAATAAATGTTGACGGGAAATGAAGATTTCCCAAGTAACAAGGAAATAAAGCCTTTTTTGATCTCATTATGGAAAAAAAAAAGAAATAATCTAATCAAAACACTGCTTTTGGTTAGCCTTGATAGTTCAGCAACAAAGCTGTAGAATACATTTGTAATCTGTGGAGTTCTTTATAAAATGATTTCATTTTTAAATATACTTTCTGGAGTGTTTGAGCACTCCAACATGTAACGTTTAACCCACGGTGTGGTTAGGTTAGAAACAATGGGAAAATGTTATTTAAGGCAAATTGACCTCTCTCTCTTCCCCCAGCTGATATGGGCTTCAATTCTGCCAGTTTTAGGTTACTTGCTTACTTAAGAGGAGATTTAGAAATGACACTGTATTATGTTTAGCTATCTAATGTAACTAAGTAATTTTTCTTTTAAATGATTTTTACAGATTGTTTCTATCACATCTTGGCCCATGTTATTGAAAATTAAAAGTACACAATGACTTGGAAGACCTTATGTATTTTCCTTAAGGCCAGCCAAGCTCATAATCTGGTCTATTGGTAAATGACACCGAGATAGCTGTTGAGAGACCAAAGCCACTTAAAAACGACTTGTACACAGAGCACAGGACAGCTGAGTTCTTCAGAAGCAGCTGTGACATCGGACTGACAAACAATCCGAGTGTTCTGTTTCTTTTTCTTTTTTTTTCATCTCAGCATATTATGGGGGTACAGATGTTTAGGTTACGTATGTTGCCCTTGCCCCCGCCCCCAAGTCTGAGTTTCAAGTGTGTCCATCCCTCGGATGGTGCGCATTGCACTCTTTGTGTATGCAAATACCCGTCCCCTCCTCCCCCCTCTCCCCGGATGTTGGGCAGAGTGTTCTGCTTCTAAAGGGACAGGGGAAAGGGGGCCAGAGAAATGCCGTCTGGATGGGCTGTAGATCTGTCACCTCTAAATCAAACTTCCTAAGTTCTGATTGCGACCGAGTCATGAATTTCACAGAGTGAGTATAGCCAGCATTTCTTTTTTTCATTGAATGAGAATAGGGTAGATTGGAAGAGATGAGAAGCTACCACAATGTATTGCTTGTAATAAGAATTATTTTGTGAAACTTTGTTTTTATAAGTATGTGTTTGTGTGCACTGGGTCACAAAGCAAAATGTATTTATAATCATGGGTCACTCGAAAAAAAGTTTGAGGGTCATTACTCTAAATCATTTTCTTTTCTTTCTATTCATTTTAATATTCTCTGTCTGCTAGTCACATTTTCTACATTTTCCTAGCCCCCTGATGCTCAATCAAAATGGTCTACCTTTTCTCATTCCCATTTTATCTTTCTGTTTTCTACTATCATGTCATGTCAGGGAGACTGAGAATGTGATTTTTTAAATTCCTATTTTTGAGATGTAGAAACAAGTCTTTTGGCATGTCCTTCCAAGGACAGAATCAACTGAATTTGGAGGTAGCGTAAGTTCAAAATAATTCTCTGGTGGTTTCTCCTCCAAGGTGGAGAAAAGAGGCACATTCCTTGAGACTAAAGATCCTCAATGAACATGAAGAAAGAAACTTTGCCAGGCCGCTGGCATAACAGTTCCAAAGACTTTTTGTTTGGAAAGATCTAGTTCCAAAATAATTAGTTACTTGACATCCTCTACCAAAGGCAATGGGAGGAATGCCTGTGACTCATTGCCCTCAACAGCCAGTCGCCATTGAAAAATCAAAGAGAAATCTACAAAGAAGTAATATGATTTGGACAAACACAGTGAACCAATGTTTCATCGCAATGGGACTTGGGGCAGAGTTCCATGAAGACATTTAAAATGGGCAAGGAGGAAAATACAGGGAAAATAAATGAACAATGAAGTTATTGCATAAGAAGACTCTCTTAGCAGCTCAAAATGAAATGAAGAAACAAATAAAAAAAATAACTCCAAAACTTGAGGTAGTACCTCTGTTTTCTAAACCTATGTCCCAGAAAAGGAATAAAGTACCTGGAAACATTTTTGTTCTTGCATGTCTACACAGACCATGGTCTTCATCAGCTCTCACGTCAGCATTGTCATGCCAAGTCCTTACAAAGAGAGCCTCTAGCAGACACAGTGCTGTGAGAAATAGCCACCTCAAAGACAGATTTATACAAAAGGGCAATGTTCCATGCTGGCTATTGCACACAGTCAAACATGCATTAGTGATGTGCTAGGAATAAATGCAAAAATGCCATTATGCTGAGTTTGAATTGTAGCAAAAGAACGTGCAGAAATAAGAGAAGTAGTCATACCTTCCAGGGCAAATATTCTTTCTCCCAGAGCTTTGACAATAGTGACTAGAGCCAATTCATCAGAGACGTTGAAGAAATGCTTTTCAGTGGGCTCACTTGCAATTGATTTTATTTCCTCCACAAATTTTTCAGTGCTTAAATTTCCTCGGTTATAGCTGCCAAGAATCTAAGACACAACAAAAATGGTAAGAATATATTTTACATTCTATGTGTTAAATGAAAGATCTCAAGCATTTTTTCAGTAAACAAGAGGGTAGTGTACCTTAGCATAATGCAATTTTTATGTACTTCCACATTGGTGGAAAAGTAATTTTCAGAATACATAGATTCCCTAATATTAACTGTTACATAAACACTGCAATTGGTGTGGAAAAATATAGAGGGCAATCTTGTGCACGTGTGAAAATTTCTTCTCTTACATTTCTGTGTTCCTGTTTATTAACAGTTGTATCTTAAAATCTGACAATTCAAAAGTAATCTTACAGTTTCTGAATGTCTCTGGTATTATTCCAGCTGGTAACATCGTCATTTGCTGGCAAAGGCAATCAGCAAGTGAGTTGCTTGATCTTGCATGGAAAGTTCTTCCTGAAACTCTTATCAAGGGACAGCCCAACACATATATTTTTTAAACAGATATTGGACTAAGTAGTAATCTAAGTTGGCAATCTAGAAAATAAACAATTAAGACATTCCTGTTTGAAACCAAATGCTGAAGACAGGGGCATTCTTTTTTATAGAGAAGAGAGGCAGGAATTATGTTACAGTTAACCATAATTATTTAGATGTCCAAGCAGATTTTCTCCAACATTTAGTTTATTTTTTTAGGTAAGGTTTATTGAAATATAATTTATATACAGTAAAATTTACCCTTTTTAGTTGTACGAGTCTATGAGTTTTGACAAACTGATATGATTGTGTTACTACCACACTGAAGTGTAGAATATTTCCATCACCCCAAAAAGTTCCTTCTTGCCCGTTTGTAGTCAATCTTTTCCTCCTTCACTCCACCCCTGGCAACTGCTGATCAGTTTTCTGTTCCTATAGCTTTGATTTTTCCAGAATGTCATATTTAAGGGATCATATAGGATGTAGCCTTTTGTGTCTGGCTGGCTTGTGAGACTCAACCACGTTGTTGCAGGTATCAGTAGTTCAGTCCTTTCCGTTGCAAAGTAGGATCCCATCATATGGAATGACATCACAAATAAATATTACTACAATTTATTTATTGAAGACATTTGGGTTGCTTTCAGTTTCATATTATAACTAAAGCTGCTATCAATAGTCACACACAGGCCCCATCTCCAAGATAACTCATTATGTATAAGCAAATATTCCAAAATCTGAAAAAAATAAAAAGTCTAAACCACTTCTGGTCCCAGACATTTCAAATAAGGGCTACTCAACCTGTATGGGAATATATAGTTGGAAGAAAATATAAGAGAAAAGAAATCTCAGGAGTTGCTGTGACTCGCACACAGTTTTGAACTATTTTTTTTTTTTTGTCACAGGATAAAAATGAAAATAAAGAGAAACATATTTTGATCCTTCACCCAAAGGTCTGGTAACTTATGAAAACATTATTTTCTATGAATGAGAAGAAATTTAAAAAAACTTCAAAATTATTCCTGTTTTACTTAATACATATATGTCAAGCCCAAGAATTTGGTATTCTGCAAATATTTCCCTGTAACAGACATTCAGAATTGAAACGTCCTGGAGGCAGATGTGTCAAATGTAAAGTGTACAATTCATTTAATACATGTAGTACAGTTTCTTTTGTGTGAAAAATTAATGAAATTTTAAGATTCTTTCTAACATCTCCTATTTTCATCTGAATGCTGTAGGTGATTTACACTTCACAGCCATTATTATCTAAGATTAGATCCTGCACATAAAATAAGCCCCTGCTCACATGTCTAGTACCCTCAGGTGACAGAAATAGAGACCCTGGAATGGAGGACTCAAAACCCGCTCAGGACCCTCACCAAATCTGAAAGGTTAACAGAAAATGTTAGTGGTTTTATTGTAGGGTACTTATAGTATCAATAGTCAATCCTTTTGGGGAGCTGTCTTCTTGCCAAAACACATCTCCATGGTGTTCAGGATTCCATGGTGGCTAAAAAAGATGGAGTAGAAGGAACAGTCCAGGAAATAACTGGGCTAGACTTCCAGTTAAATTTTATTATGTGTAGCATGAGTGGACCTCAAGAAATGTCTAAAACCCTTGTGTGTTAATGTACAAATTAGAGGAAATAAAAGAACCTGCCTTATTTTCTAGTTTGTTATGAAATAAAAAAATAACTAGTGCACTAGGGAAAAGAAATATGAATTAGAAAAAATAAAACATTGTTGATAAGTGAAATTTTCCTATATGTTTTTATTCATACCACTCCTAAAATCAGTTTGATAATAATTCACTGATTAAAATGGGAAAGGAACTTATGATTATATGGTTCTCCAGGGGTATTAATGAAATTATGAGACCTCTTTTTGACTGGATGGGAAGCAAAGTCTGAATTATCAAGTAGGAACCCAACAAAGGGAAACTTAAGCGCAGGAAATACTGACTATGTAGCCAGATAACAATGCGCACAAATGCATTTAAAATTAAAAGGTCATTCATTGATATTTTTTTTCTAGTGAAGTTTTCCTAATGCTGCTAATTCAGATGATGGCTAACACTGTTCATGGACTGCATTCATGATACTTGGCATGCCAGACTATACCCGCTGGGAGGAAGAAGAACAAATGATAGCACCTTTGATATCCAGCTATCCAGGACAAACTGGGCCTCCACTGGCTTTGCACTACATTAGCTGTAGACTCTAATTGTCACTACCATTTGGACAGTGTCTCTGAGTGACGACTGGGCCATATGGAATTATTTTCCACCATAGAAGACATCACAATAGTTATACTGAAGTAACAGGAGAGGTAATAATGGATTTATTAATAACTCACAAAAGATAATTTACAGAGGTGACAACAAGGGGAATGAGAGAAATAATGGGATATTTTAATTTTTTAAAAAATCTTGCACCCCCATATGACAAAGAAAATGTGGTAGTCAGAAGTTGCCACTGTTTATAACCAAACCATCCTGGTTATAAAATAAGGAGCTCCTTGGCCCTGGGAAGCAGTGAATCATTCATACCCTGCGATTTTTATCTATGGATGAATCTCTATTTTTCTTCCCTTCCTGCAATGTTCATCTTTGGAAAGGAAAGAAGCAAATCTCACTGATTGAATGCTGAAAAAACAATGTGGATAATATATGATTATTATGAAAGGGATTATGTTGAAAAATAGTTTAGGCTGAAAGCTTAGAGTTCTGAAATTTTTTTCCTCTGACTGATTTTTTAAAAAGTCAGTTAATTTAGAAGGAGAGAGAAGGCTTTGCTCTCCCTGGGCTGAAGGCATATACTATGGAGTCAAGGGTGAAAGAGTTAGGAAGGAAGGCTGGACATAGTTGTTGAGTTATAGTCTACGAGGGAATCGTGGAAAGTTTCTTTCTGAGCCAGGGCACAGGACAATTTACCTCTAAGATCCCTTCCAGCTCTAAAAGACTAAGATTTTATTATTTCATGGTTGCAAACTCCTTGAGTTAAGGATGCTTAAGAAAAATAATGTTTATTGGGTGCCTAGCTCACCACTGTGCTAGACGCTTTCAAAATCATTACCTTGCTGATTCTTTATCCGAAAGAGAGAGAGAGAGAGAGAGAGAGAGAGAGAGAGAGAGAGAGAGAGATAACATTACCTCATTTTACACATAAAAGAACCTGAAGCTCAGAGTATTAAGCAACTTCTCTGCTAGTCAGAGCCAGTACATGGTAAAACCAGAATTTGAACAAAGGTCTTTGTGGTTCTAAAATACAGTGTCCTCTACCTGTCCCCACTCCCACCCTTCTGCTTCTCACTTCTGGCAAACATCATAACCTTAAATGTTGTAAGTCCCAGGGTGGACTGTCCAAGAGTTGTGGGTATGGGAATATCCTTGTTGGTTTTTTGTGGATTATTATGAATCATGTCCTGATTCCAGCCTCTCAAATTTCAGGAAGAATTATCAATTAGCAGGCAATGTATTTATTACCTAGCATATCTTCAGTTTCTTTTTTTCTTTTCCTTCCTTCCTTCCTTCTTTCCTTCCTTCCTTCCCTCTCCTTGCTCTTCCTTTCCCTATATCCCTCCCCCTTTCCTACCCTTCCTTCTTTCCTCTTGCCTCTCTTTGTCCTCCTTCTCACCCTCTTTCCCTCTTTTCTTCCTTCTTTTTTCCCTCTCATTTCTGTTGCTCTCTTTTTCTCACCCTTCCTTCCCTCTTATGTTTTTTTCTCCCTTCTTCTTCCTTTTATCTTTTTTATTTTCTTCCCTTTTTTGCTCTCAGTGACTGTTTGTTGAGTGACTGTTTGGGCTGGCAGTGTGCTGAGCACTGAGCACACAGAAGGAGCAAGACCCAAACTCACCCTCACAGTGCTTCCCTTCAAATGAAGAAGTCTCTCCTTTCCAACTTTCATAAAATTACCTCAATGTGCACACAGCTCTTCTCTTCACACAGAGTTTGAAAGCCATCTCTAGCAATATACTTACAGCTATGGAAAATCGTTGAATGTTTTCATCTTCACAGTCTTGGATGACCTTATTCAGTCGGTGGTTGTCATGGGACTCTCCATCAGTCACAATAACCATGACCTTTTTAACTCCCCTTCGGGCACCCCGGGCTTCAGTGAATGCCTCCTTTCTGAAGGACAAAAGAGAGGCTGATAAAACACTACTCTAAGGTTAGGCAAAGTGAGAAACCAAACTAAAACACTGACAACTCCAGGTAGCCTGGTGCTTCCCTCCAAAATCAACATCGATGCCCAGTGTTCAAGCTGGGAGGCACGATGACCCTTATTTGTAACAGTTTTAGATTGAGTTCAGATGATGGAGAGGTTTACCATTTTGCTAATTACCACATACTCCATATACAAAAGGCAGCAATATTTTATTCTTTGGAAACTTCAAAAGAAGTGTGTGACTGAGACATATATCAGGTTAAGAGAAGGTCAGATCTGTAAACACTCTTCCAGCTGTTCCTTTCTCTGTAAACACCCCTTCTCTCACTCAACAGGCCTCTTTTCTTCTGCTTCTGGCACAAACTCTTGCTTGAGACTTCACTTCCCCAACACCTAATCTGACATTTGTAGAGCAGCTTAGAAATCCTGATCTAAGGAGGGGTGAGGAGAGAGAACAGAATATTTGTGGGGCTGTGAGTGCTTGAGTGTTCTGGGCATGGGGGAAAAATCAGACATAGGAATAGAAGACTGCAGATGGCGGTGATCTGAGTCAGTGGAGAAGTCAGGGGTTTTAGGGGGCAAGGAGGAGTTGGGGGAGTTACAAAAGATTTAGTCTGAATTCGGCATTAGGACACAGACTGCTGAGAGTGGGGCGGGAGGAGGTGGCATGGAGAGAGAGGAAAATGCTATATAATCTAACTGCCAAGACAGGAATTTCAATTTAATTCAATAAGCATTTATGGAAAGAGACAAAGATAGGAGAATGGACAAATTTTTTTTGTTTGTTTTATTTGTCCACACACACACATTTCCCCCACCTCTATTATTCTATTATTTCCTTTTGCTCAAATCACTTTCCCCTCTGGAGTCTCAGAAGAGATAAGTCCATTTTACGTAGCAATAAAACAATGAAAGGATTTCATATAATATTTTTAAGATTTTGGTATAAAGTATAGCAATTATTATACTGAATGGTCCCTTTAGATATTTTACTTTGGCCATAAGGACAAATGGCTGCAGTTTGCGATATGCCAAAGAAACACCTCTCTTCAACAAAAATTTCAAACAGTTGGCACAATACACATGGCTTGCACCATAGGTACACAGTAAATGCACAATAGCAGGTATCTTTGAGCAGGGGGAGAGGATCCTAGTGATGTGGGCAAAGGGATTTTATCTGTGATTATTTTTCCTTTAAAAAGACTTAAAGCAAATATGACAAGATGTTGACAACTGTCAATTCTGTGTGATGGATACACACGATTTTGTGGTAATATTTTTTATACTGTCTATTTTTCTCAAATTTTTCAAAAGAAAGAAAAATTCTACTTTTTAAAAACAACTGGGGAACTGTGTGTCTCTGCCCTCTATATTTGACAGACTCTCTCCTTGACCAAAACTAAGTCAGGGCTTCTCTAGTCAGACTCCAAGACTATGCTCTGACCTCAGGCTCTGACCTTGGCCCATCGAGTCCAGTTTTAGCAAGAATACTGCTGAGTCAGCTTAGTGAAAATCCCCCACCTTAGGTATCTGATCAAATCCCTCATTCTCTACCCTCCAAATCTTATCATCCTGGCCTATGATATTGTGATATAATACATTAAAAATATTTAATTGATAGGCCATTAGGCTGAGACAGCTCCAGTGCTTTTTTTCTACATAAGCAAACCAAAACCCAATTCAATGTAAATAGTAAAACAAAACTTAAACTTTACCAATCAGAAACCACCAACTAACCTCTAACTAGAGCCTTTATCAATCAGAAACTTCCAGCTAATCTCTAACTGGGGACTTTCCACCATATTATACTCAAGGCAAATGCCTAGCTGTAGCCAATCAAGTAATTTCTTTACTTTCCTTCTGCGTTCAAAATATAAACTTCTGCTGCTCATGCTGCTAAAGTGGAGTTCTCTGAACCTCCTCTGGTTGTGAGTGCTGTCTGGTTCATAAATCATTCTTTGCTCAAATAAACTCTGTTAAATCTAATTTGTCTAAAGTTTTTCTTTTAACAAGTTAGAAATATATGTTTGGTCTCTACCCTGGTTTCTGGCACAGAGTTTCCAAAACTCTTGTAATTTCCTGAGTGACAGGAGTACAAGGTACATCTTTTGTTCTAGTATTTGGTCTTTAACCTGGGTTCCTGACACAGAGCTCCTAACCTGTTGGAATTACCTGGGTGATAGGAATGTCTTTTGTTCTAATAAGGTGACTCTTGCTGGGCTCTGAAATGGGGGCTGGTCACCAGAAGGACCAATCCAGGATCAAAAGCTTGGAACCTTTCATCCCAGCCCCCATTCTCCAGGGAGGAGAGAGGAGTTAGAGATTGAGTTAGTAATCAATCATGCCTACGTGATTAGGCCTCCATACAAATTCCTGAACTGTGGGGTTCAGAGAGCTTCCAGGCTGCTGAATACGTGGAGGGTGGTTTGCCCCAAGATGGCAATGAAAGCTCTGAGCCCCTTCCCTCATACCCTTCCCAATGAATCTTTTGCTGTTCCTTAGATGTATCCTTTCATAATATGTGGATAATAGTGAGCAAATTGTTTTCCTGAGCAAATGATCAAACGTAAGAAGAGCATTCTAGGAATCTCTGACTTACAGCCAAGTTGGACAGAAGTTATGGGTAACCTGAAAACCTACTGATTACAACTGGCATCTAAAGTAGGGGGGACAGTTTTGTGGGACTGAGCCCTTAACCTGTGGAAGTCTATACTAACTCTGCTTGGTGTCAGAATTGAATTGAATTGTAGGATACCTAGATGGTGTCAGATAACTGGTCACTATGGGATAAATACTCCACGCATCTGGTGTCAAAAGTGAAGTGTTGAGAGTATCAAGAAAGAAAAGCAGTTTGATTTTTCCTACTATTCATCTACCTTCAGCAAGAATCCCCCTCCCTTAGTGTTTCCTCTTAGTAATTTTCCATCCACTAATCCCCACCCTACTCCTTGGCTATAAATCCCTACCTGTTCTTATATTTGAAGCTGAGTCCAATCTCTCTTCTCTACTACTACCCCATCGCAGTGGTCTCTCTTAAATGAAGTCTTCCTTATCATCTTTAACAAGTGTCATGAATAATTTTTATTTAATATACTATAAAATATTTCTCACTTTTTTTTTAATTTCAGCATATTATGGGGGTATGGATGTTTAGGTTACGTATATTGCCCTTGCCTCCCCGCTCCTCCCCACATTTCTCGCTTTTTTATATGCACAAAGGTGAAAACTGATGTTAAGGGCTAGTCTTTAAAAGCAGTTTGGACATGGATATCATATGAGATTTAATCCTTTTTGCAATTCAAATTCTTTAGAGGATCACCGAAACTTCCCAATTCTCTTAAAGACCAAGGTTACAACTGAACTAAATGAATGTCAGCTGAAGGAGATGATTAAAAGACCTTTCTTAAAGAAAATCTGTCTGCTGAGAGATCAGGGCTGGTTTTAGGTAATAGAAGAGTAGTCATTGGCCGAACTCCCAAGTACACCCTTTCTGTTTCAAAATATATTTCTTAACAAATTGTCCTTGTTCCTAAAATAACAGTATCCACTGTCCCTTGTTGAAATTAAACATTGACTTCCCTGCATGCTTTTAAAAATTAAAATATACTAGGAAAGTTAAAATATACCATTCTTTGGGACAGGAGATTCCAGCCTTTATGATTAAATACTGTAAGCCTATTGACAAGAATGAAAATGTGGGATAGGGAGAAGGGAAAACACACAAAAAAATTTGAACTGGGAGTTACTGAAAATGGATGTAAAGGATTCTTAAAAATTAAAAATATTATTTGCAACTTGCTCTGCGTGAAAGTAATAAAAAAATCAATTAAAAGTGTGCCTAAACACGAAAAACTAATTAATATATGAGAAAGATACTTAGTATTATCACTATGGACTTTTTATGTATAATCAAAACTCAGTAAACTCTGTGTCCTACAGCTAGACTTTTTGTGAAACACTGAGGCAAAAACCATATAGGGACATGGTATTTAGAGTGGTATTTACGCAGGAGCAAAAGCAGCCAGAATATTTCTTCAGTTGTCAAATATGAATATTCATTCTTAAGTGGTTGCCTTTGGAAAATGCACAGCTCCCTACAGGCTCAGAGGTTTCAAAGAGCATTTTGATTTACTTTGAATGTGCAGTCACATTTAGTCAATTATTGAAGAGGGCACATTTAGTACACCTAAACATGTCGCTCTTTGTGTATGTAAACTGGTGATCCTATGGGTAGGTAAATGTCAAGTTACCCCATCTGTTTGTGGTTATTTTCTCTTGGGCCCCATATAACTAGAACCTCATTGTTTTCTAACATTTATGAGTCCAAAGTTGCACATGAAATTTTAAATTTTTGAATATGAACCCATTCTTTGGAATTAACTATTTTAACCTCCTTAAAACACTGACCTTAGCAGGCAGTTGAAGTGACAGCATGGGTAATTAGCTCTTCAAAATAAGGTGAGAGTCTAGAAGCTGACATTTAATAGAAGGATTCTTAATGTTAGTCAAATTACTTATTAGATTTCCTATGATTTTGGTATTGTTTGGTTTTTGTTCAAAAGTTTGCTAGTTTTAATGGTGACTAAGGGGAGAAACAGCAAGGGATAAGAGCTGAATGAGGTCAGAGAAAATACAGGAAATAAAATGTTCTACATTTGTGAGAGAGAACATTTCTGCTGGTTCTCATAATATAAAACTCAACCACAGAGTGGTTATGGGTTCCCCATGAAAGAAAGTGCAGAAGGGAGGAAGGAAGAATTGTAAATTGGAGAGAATTTAGAGAAAGGAAGGAAGGAGGGAAAAAAAAGGATACAAATGATAAAATCCTTTCCATCTCTTTCAATCTTTGCATTGAAAATGATTTCAAATAAACAATATTTAATTTGGCCTCCTAAAAACTCTTATCTGATAGCTTCAATAACTTTAAATCAAGAGCTGAAAACATAAGAACGTAACTTGAGGGGAGGTGGGCTAACTTTTAATTCATTCTTTTAGATTGAGACTCCTAGAAGCTGAAAATGAAGAACAAATGGAACAATTATTGACTAATATGAAGTCTTAGTACCCAAGAACTTGATGCAAAAAAGTAGTAATTTTTTAAAATTGATTTTCCATCAATTAAACCCTTGTAATAAGGAAAAGACAAAAAGGATGGTGAGATTGTATTATAGAAACATCTTGTAACTAGTAGCTAATCTTCTGAATTATAAATAAGATGGCTTTAAATATTGCCACTCTAAACATTCAATCAACACCCCAAAGGGCTAAATCATGAGCACATATTTTGAATTGTCTTTTACTTTGGTTTATTTTTTATTTATATACCTTGCTGTGTCTATTCCAAGGGCTGTCATAGTCTGGCGGCCACCTCTCTGGATTATCTTATTTGCTGCAACAAGTACCTCTTCCGTCGATGAATACTTATTGAGGTTGAACTCATGGGTTACATTTTCTCCATACTGTACAATTCCAACCTGAAAAACCAAGCCAGTGAGAGTTATGCATCTATCAAAATTCCCTGTTTAATTTTCTTCAGTTTAAACATGCAGATCAGATATAAGACATTTTAGTGTTTCAGATGAGTTCACAAATCTTTCAGTACACAAATCCTATGGGCAGTAATACTCATAGACATTCTGTGAACATTCATAGACAAAAGAGCAGAGATAAAAGTGCTGTTATTAAGCTTTTTAAATGATTGGTTTATCTATTCAACAGATTTTACGAAATGACGCTGGTAGGCCTTGGGAGTAGAATATAAAACACCCTGATATGGTCTCTGCCTTCATGGAGCTTCTAAACCAGAAGGAGGGAGAGATTAAACACATGATCATTCAAATACAAGTACAATTGCAAACTGTGAAAAGGGCTATAGAGGACAAGCCCTTATTAGCAAGTATAACCTAGAGGCCTAATTTAAAATGGGGCTCAGGGAAGGTCTCTCAGAAGTTGAGACTTCAAGGATAGGTGCTAGGAGGGCAGAGGTTCCACACAGAGGGAACTGTGTATATGAAGAAGACTGCAAGGGAAAAGAGGTAGATACACCCTAAGAATGAAAACAAAGCCAATGAGCCCTGGCCAGGCAATAAGGGGAGAGTAGAGCAGATGAGGCTGGAGGAATGAGCAGTGGACGTATCTCGCAGGGGTGCACACTTGCTTCATGCTTTATCTAGCTTAGCTGCAGCTTCATTTCTCCCAAATGAGTCCTTCTCACCTCCCTCTTCCTTTCCTATTCTCTGTCTTCCTTCTCCTATTGCCTTTTTCCTTTCATTCCCTTTTTTTCCCCCACAGATTGGATAAAGCAGGAGGCTAACTACAGAGTCACCAAGAAGTAAAATGGCATAGAAGGGAAAGTGTCGTAGATTTGATTACCCTTGCTCCATATACTTCCTCTTCCTTCATCCCCACCCTCCAGAGATGCCCATTTCTTCTGTCCTTTTGCTACGCCCTCCTTTAAAGGTTGATGTGAACCAGTAAACTAATCTGCATTAAGGATTGTGACTGAAGATGACTTTTTGTTTAACCTTCCTATCTCAAAATTTGGGACGTAGAGAAATCCCAAAGAAATGTCTCTTTATTGTAGAAATTCTAGGCACTTTGTTACTTGGGTAGGGAAAGTATTAATATTATAATTTGAGACAGGGATGCCTTTTTTCCAAGGCAATTGCCTACTGTGCCTGTGGGTAAAGTTGCCTCTGGTGCCTGCTTTAGAGCCAATCCTATTTCCAAGTCTTAACCCTATTTCCAAGTGGCACAAAGGCTCAGTATCGATTTTCTGGCCTCCACTTCTGATATCACTGTTGTCAGAAACCTTCAGGCTTAATTTTATGACTTATAGATACATTTCCACAGCGGAGTCTTTTTGGAAACCAAAAGCATATTCTGGCGTTTTCAGAACAAATAAGAGAAGCCGAAATTTAAAGTATTTTTTATCTTCTTTGAGCTACCTTCTAGAGTATACTGGACATCTTGGAGCAAGTATTTTACTGTGCTTAAATAAGAACACTATGCTATATTTTTAATACTCTTTAAACTTTCTTCTCTAATTTATTCAAATCATAGCAACAGAAATTATTATTACATTTCATAAATGCGGAAACTGAGTTTAAAACGTTCACTTCCCATAATCAAGGGGTAGAAAGGGGATCTAGTCTAAGACATATATCCCTGATCCCAGGGCTCTTTCAATCACACTACTTCCTCTCGACAAAAATGCATCTCCTTAAAGTCACCTTGCTCTGTTAGCTTCTGCTAAATGCTGCTGCCATGAGTCTGACCACTTGATGAGTTCAAGTAGCTAGCTAGCTAATGGAGATACGTTAGAGTATATGATAAAACAAGTACACAAATAGATCACATTTCAAAAAAGAAATAGAATATATGACTCCTCCCTTAAAGTTGCTTAGTTGGGTATAAGATAAATAAGAAACAACTAGAAAACATATGCAAGTATAAGATGAAGTATGCATCATAAGCTGAATGAGCACGCAATCTGCTCAATCTAGGCGCAGATTAGCCTTTCCCCATGAATGCATCTTTCAGCCAGTATCCTTTACCAACGCAAAGACTATGTGCTATTATATTTGGCACAAAGATGACCAGAAGTCCCTTTGGGAACAAGGTTGGCTATAATCAACTAATCACACAAAAATAACAAAATGGATGAAGATACACCCAGGCCACCCATAATTAAGGTTATTTCCTTGATTTATAATTA